CTCGCTAGCCGGGGAGAAAGAGGAAGTGAGAGCCGCGGCTGTTTAATGGGCCACCTGTGCCCACTTAACAAGGAAACCGCAGAGTGGATGGATTGTATCCACCCTGATGAGCGGCGCGCACGAGACAAAGAGCAAAGCCGCGGGCTGCGGAAGGTGATCACTGCGCGATCGAGGAAACCCCGGCTTTGCGCGCAATGGAAAGAACCCGGGGGAAACAAGACCATGCCGGAGCAGCAGAACAATCTAGGACAATGGGATACTGGCTGAACCTGCCATTTGGAACATTAAGGGGGATTATTGAGGTATTGATAATCTGTAGCATATAACATGACGACGGGGCGAAACGCGGGAAGGGGAGAGGTATAAATTGTACAATGAAATGTGCCAAGCCAGTCCTGGCTTTGTTTGTAACTGTTGTGTTACGCTTGAGTAAACCTCTTTTGTGAACCACATGTGTCACGGGAGTTTCTCTTGACGAACGGGGCATTCCTTACACTACAGAGATGCCATGTGGTTTTAATAGTCTGTTGGTTGTTTCTGAGATGTTTCTGATTTATGGCAGTGTTATCCTTTTCATAGCTTGTGTTGGTTGTGTTGTAGTGGGTTGAGTGGTCAGAGACTTTTTGATAAAGTTGCGTGGGTGTCCATTTTGTTGGAAGATGTTGTATAGGTGGCCTGTTTCCTTTTTCTGGTGTTCTGAGTTGCTGCAATGCATTTGTGCTTGTTTGAATAATGTTCTTACACAGCTCCTCTTGTGGGAGGTGGGGTTATTACTTTGGTAACGGAGCACTTGGTTAGTGTGGGTTATTTTTTGATAGACTTGTATTTCTAATTTGCCATTATTTCCTCTGCTGATGTGGATATCCAGGAAGGGTAGCGTGCTGTTGTTTTCTTCTTCCCTAGTGAATTTTATTTCTTTGAAGATGTTGTTGATAGTTTCATGTGTCTTCTCTAGTTGTTCCTTTTTAATTGTGACAAAGGTGTCATCTACATACCAGATCCATACTTTGGGTTGTATGCATGGAAGTGCTATAGCTTCTAGATGCTGCATTACAATCTCTGCTACGAGTCCTGAGAGTGGTGATCCCGTGGGCCTGCCTCTGATTTGTTGGTATATTTGTCCCTCAAACTAGAAATAGGTAGTGAGGCAGCGGTTGATGAGGTCCATGGTTCTGGGTATTTCGATCTTGGTGTATTTGGTTAGGTTGGGTGTGTTGTGTTGTATTGCTGACATGGATTCTTTTGCTAATTCCAGTTCTATGGATGTAAAGAGTGCTGTGACATCAATGAAACTATAATTTCATCTTCATCTATTTGTAAGTCTTTGATTTTTCTGGAGGCACTGTAGTGGGGAGTTGATAGAATATTTGCTCCCCTCTGTGAGATGTCCAAGCTTTTTTGTGAGTTCTTTCTCTGTATTGTAAGTTGGGGTCCCTGGTAACGATACAGTTGGTTGGATTGTACACAAATACATAAGCCCAACATATCTCTCTGACCAATTTGCATTACAATGCAAAGTGTGTATCTAATTATTGCCTAGATCCCAAGATTACCTACTGAAAAACAAGTCTTAAATCTAGCATGCCAATACCTCAGGATCAGGGGATTTTTATCTTGGACTGTTCTCTGTTTCTGTTTGTTTAAAAGGAGATGTGGAATGGAACACAAAATCTATTACATATTTGTGAAAGTCAAGTCAACTCCGGCCACATATGTCTATTTCTCCCACCTCCCCCATCACAAAAGACCCTCTGCGTGGGTTCTCTGCTGACCCCCAAGCCTTTCTGAGGCGAAGAGCAAGGCAGAGCCTCTCCTGTTCTATCAGCAGAAGGCCCCAGATTCATGCTTGGCCTCTCCAGTTTGGCCTGGGAACATTCCCCCAAGCTTGCTTTGTACTCTGTTCTGTGCTGCGGTTACTGTCATGATTATTGTTATTCATGGTCTATCACCTCTGGTTGTTTTTATTATAATATTATGATTTCTTTTTACAAATCAGGCTGTTCCTTTATATTCACTCTGAGAATAAATCAGTACATTCTCCCATTCTTAGTTTTTGTCTGTCACGCAAAGAGGTTGCTCCATTGCAACCCATTAGGACACACGCCAGATATTCGTTATCACCCTCCTTATTTATTCTGTGCTTGACAGCCCAGGCTTAAACCGATGCCTCTTACACAGAGTCCTGATTTTTATCTTCATAAATATGAATGCTGTTTCTCTCTAATGGTGATGTTGGCTTACATGTGCTGATTTTTACACAGCATGATATTATCCCCAAGGCCCCGTTCCCTCAAAACATTTTATTTTCCACATGTGCAGTACTAGCCTTTCCCAGCCCTTCCTTCACATGTTAAGTCGGTGATCAGGGTGACACAGGCATGGAGATGGTTGCCTGCCCAGTTCACATACGAGATCTGGCTATGCAAACTGTTGCTTACTGATGGCCTGGCTTGCACAGGTATTGGTAGGAGTCTGTTGAACATTACTGGCTGATCTGAACATGAAGGTCTAGGGAGGAAGTTCTGTATCTGAAATGAAAACTCCCATTCAGCTTTGAAGCAGCCATTGTACATTTCAGAAGTGAACATGTAAATCTATCACATTCATTATGGGTTTGTAATAGCACCAGCAGCAGCTCTCATTTAGTGGGATTTCTGACAGTATTAACTGTCTGTATTTGCATTATTTGCTCACATCGTGTCTAAATTAGAATGTAGTATCATGGCACCTTAAAATTGTCTCCTTCTGGCCCTCTAAATAGACCCAAACACCAGATAGAACCAGACATACCTGCATTGCAGATTTGACTTGTGGCATACTTTGCTTTTTCTAAAAAAATATAATTTCATTAAAATTTTTAAAAATAGAACTAATATTTAAATAACTTGATTATTAGTTTGTAATACTGTATATAAATTAATAGCAATATAGTTATTGCTGTTCACTAAATTCAAGTTCAATGCGGCCATTAACCAATATTTTATACAAATCTAAAGATATAAAACACTAAGGAAATTAAGAACCAAAGGAAACAGTAAAAGAAATATATGAAGTGCATGAAAAGAATTAAATACAGCCCTTAAGATACTAAAAAGAGAATTAAACAGAAATAAAATGTTAATGAGAATATTAATAAAATATAATTATTAAAGTATTAAGACACGAAAGCCAGTTTGGTCTGGTGGTGAAGGCTCCAGGCTAGAAAGCAGGAGACGGAGAGTTCGTCCCGCCTGAGGCATGAAAGCCGGCTGGGCGACTCTGGGCCAGGCCCTCCCTCTCGGCCCACGGCGTCAGGCTTGGGCGACAACCCCGTCGGTCAATTCCTGTCACAACCAGCGGATCAACATTCGGTTGATCTGAAAAAAAGCAGACCCTGCACATGTGGGAAAAATGCTAGGATGAAAGAAAAAGAAAAGAAAATTAAGAGCTAAACTAAGAGCCTTCCTGAAATTTAGAAGTGGCCACCAGCTTCCATAAAATCAAAGGATATCAAGGGACAGGGGGAGGAACCTATGTTTAACCAGTTAAAATCTAGAAGGAATTGGTCTCTACTTTGAGTGCAATCTATCAGTAATTGTAGTAGCAATTCAAAATAAAATTGAAAGAACAACAGAAAACATTTAAAGATAAAAATCAAAAAGAGATTTTCAGTGTGTGTTCCCATACCCTTAATTATCTGTTTATGGATTGTAATTGCTGCTATGCAAAAGGTAGCAACATTATCTGTGATAAATGGCTCCCTATGTGAGAGCAGAAAATCAGGAAGAAACCTACAAATTGTGTCAGTAAGGGAAGAACGAAAGTTTCTCGACTAGACTAGGAATAGGAGCAGTGGAAAGGCACATGCGTGATGGTCTCAATAGTGCTTCTGCTGCAGGGACAGGCTCTCATAAACATGGGGATCAATAAAATTATATAACTCCATTGCTGTTATGTAAAAGAAAATATACTTTAAAAATAAACAGCCTATTATATAGGAGGAGCTGTAAAGGAGTTGGTCTAGAGTTGGCTAGTACCAGAATCAGATAAATATATTAAAATGTATTAAGAAAGAAAAGAAAGGAAAAGAAAAGAAAAGACTGTCATGCTAAACTACCTAGGGATGAAAAAAGAACAAAGGGGAAAAAGACCACTCCCAAATAAAAGATCCTTCGAACCCCCCAAAACAACTAAACAAACAAAGAAACCTTTAAAAAACACAATTTAAAGAAGGAGAAAATATCAGGTTATTGGAAGTCAGGCCTCAATCTTTAGGACTCCAGCTGTCCATTGAAATAAAAGGGTAACCTATATACTATAAAAATCAAGTAAACATTTTCATCACTAGCACACGTTATAGAATTCATGAATCTGATACAATTAAAACGGTAAGTTTAAGATTTAAGCATGAAAGTGAATACAATGATGTTGCGAAGTTTAAGTAAAACTGAAAAAGTAATAGAACAATAAAAATAGCAAACATGAAATATGAAGTTATTATATCACTAAAATCTATAAATAAATGATATTGAAGTCATTAAATAATTATTATATTTTTAACATTATTAAATAACTTCAGATCCAACCTTAGAGAATGGCTTAAACCTGAACCCCTGAACCCTTGACCCTTTGGTCAAGTCTTGCCCCACCTTCGATGCAGTGCACTCTCCTTGCTCCTGCTGTGCATCAGGGTTGGGTGTGGGTAGAAGATTTTGCACAGCTCTCTTTCCCCATTTGGCGCCCTCTTCTACAGGTAGCAGAGAACCCCAGGCCAGGTGCCTGTAGTGAGGAGGAAAACTCCAGGGAGTTTTCTCCAAGAAATACAGGACCATGGAGCCACGGTGAGCAATGCCCATTTCCTCCATGGAAGACCCATCTTCCCTCTGCTTTCTGTTACCTCCATCTAATTAACACTGACCCAGCTGCGATACACTCCAGCAGAAAGAGTCATTTCCTTCCCTGGCCTTCTTGACCATCAGCTGCATTCACTATGAAGAGGAGGGAAACAGGGAATTACTTACTTGCAGCCACCTGGAGAAGCACCAGAAGCAGCTTCATGACCATGACAGCTTTTGAAATTATAATCATAGGAAGGCAGAGGTTTGTACCCTTCCACTCTGAAAGGGCGCTGCTGCTCTGCATCCAACAGATATGAGCAGACCCTCGGCAAGAATGGGGCCTCTGGTGACCCTGGGCAAAGGCAGGTGCTGCGACGCTTCCTGAACAGTACCCAGCAGGGCTGGCACTCAAGAGCCCTGTCTCACAATCACAGCATATTCATCATCTCTTGTCTCCTAAATGCTGAACTATTCATAGGCTTTTCCTCAGGAGTACTTCAAAGTTTGGCATCTGCTTGAATCGGCCTCTGCTCCCCTTCTGAAGGAGTTAAAAACCAGGAATGGTAGCCCAATAGTGAAAGGAGGGGAAAACGCAGAAGGTTGGTACTCAGAATGATTCTGAAGCTGAGGAAACCTCATCAAATCCCCCTGCATGTGGATCTGCCTCTTGAGCCAGGTGTCTCTGTAGACCGCTCAGTTCCTGTCTAGAGGAGGAGCTGTCCCATTTCCCTTATAACCAACCCAGAGGCTCAGCTGCATTGATATACTGGGCAGAAGAGCCCTCTGCTGGACCGGCTGTTGTATGGAAACTTGCTAGGATTCATCCCATCCAAGACATTTCTTTGATTTTGACCAGGCTACTCAGTCAGGAACTTGAGACCCAGTTTGGTCTTGTGGTTAAGGCTCCAGGCTAGGAACCAGGAGAAGGTGAGTCCTAGTGCCCCCTTAGGCATGAAAAACTGGCTGGGTGACTTTGGGCCAGTCCCTCTCTCTCAGCCCTGATGTCAGGCTTGGGTGACAAGCTGGTCGGTCAATTCGTGTCTCAACCAACGGATCAACTTTAGGTTGATCCAAAAAAAAGTGAACCCGGCATCTGCAAGAAAAATGCTATGATACAAAACAAATAAAACCTCAGTCAAAAACTCCCAAGACTGCAAAAGTTTCAAGGGAAGTTAACAATGAATCTAGTCAGTCAGACAGACAGAAACTTTATTTTGGTCACTGACCAATAAAAATACATTCAGTAAAACGAACAAAGCAAACTTAACCCCTAATATCAGTGACTACTAGCAACCATTTGTGGGTGAAGCTTACACATAATGTAGCAACATTTTGCTTCTTTTAGAGAGAGAGATTTATCCTGGTTATCTAACAAACAGTGCAAATAAAAATTATCAGGATGCCCTGGAAATTTAGATAAAAAGGGGGTAATCAGCTGGTGGCAAATGTCCCTGTAGAACTGGCAGGACAGTAGAACATGGGCTGTGGTTTCTATACAGCACCCGTGTCACAGGGGCAGTCGAGTTTCATAAGGGGTCTTCCTATATTCCCCTTCCAAAACAGCTGTGAGGAGAGCATTGAATCGAGCTAAAGATAAAGCTCTCCGTTAAGAACTGTGATGTGCTATAAATATGAAGCTGGTATAGGAGCTAAAATGTGGTTACTTACAAATATGTTGTGAGAGAAAGCAGCAATTTCTGTTGGGCCTTCTATATCTAAGATCCTTTGCCTTAATATTGATCTAGCTTGATCTGGCCCTAAAGTTAAGATGGCATCACTGGAAAAGCCATAGTTGCTCCCTTTCCTTTTGTTTGCTGTTTCCCCAGACAATCTGAAGCTGTCTGCCAATATTAGATGAGTCAGTCCACTAGGATTGTGGTGTGGTTTTAGCCAGTGGGTAAAGACATTTATCCAGAGATTGGATTCAAGTTTACTGACTCCTGCTTCTCATCAAAGTACTGCATTTGGGGAAGGTGAAAGCGGGTAACCTGAAAGATACTTCTCAAAAATTTTGTTTGAATTCTTCCGAAGGTGTTCATGCTGTTAGCCGGTCCTCAAGGGCCCCCTCCCTGAGGAGGAAGAGGGCTCACCCATTGACTGCTGACACCCCCCAGCCAGCCCTACCTTGCCAGCCGGCATCTGAGTCAGTCCCTCATTCTTCCTCAACACTTACTGCCATTAAGAGATTTAACATTTCAGCCTTGTTTCCAAAGCAGCCAATCACCGCTTTCCTGTTGGCCTTGCTGCCTGCCAATTGGGCGCAGGGGCCAGAGGGTGGCAGGAAAGAGGTCAGGGATCCTGCCTTCCTTCCTTCCCACATATAATATAGGCTTGCGCCATTTGCGCTCCCCTCGCAACCCTCAAGAGAGCCCCAGTGAAGCCTCCTCCTCCTTGGCTGGCCCACAGAACTGCCTGCCACTTTGCTGGGGGGAGGTAGAACAAAGGGAGCCATGGACCATGAGGAAAACTGCACCCCTGCTCCCCATTCCGGCATATCCCCAAGGGCCCACTCCCTCGAGGGAGGAAGAGGGCTCAACTCATTGACACCGGTACCCCCCAGCCAGCCCTATCTCGCCAGTAAGCATCCAAGTTGCTGCCTCATCCTCCCCTCAAAGCCCACTGCTGTTTTTTTTTTTTTAATCTGCGCTCAGTCGTTACTGACTCT